GAAGAATACAATCTCGCCGATTTCTTTCCCATCCTTGGCGACATCAATAAGAACACCCTCCGGCTGATCTGTCTTAATGATTCGAATGGGAAGACTGGTCAAGAAGCCATGACCCTGGCGAGCCATTTTGGCGTACTTCTCGTTTGTTGGGAGTGTCTCCCATGATGGCATATGGTATCCTTTGGTGATGGGACCGTAGGTCTCCGTCATGCCATAGACATGGACGGGGAAGAGATTCAGGTTTGTCTAACCACGTCAACACTATTTCGACGAGTCCCGGCAGCCGGATCAAGCGTTACATACCATCTGCTCGAACAAGTGCGCACTGGGTGGACTGGCAGCTACAGTCACCCGCACTTCTTGGGGCAACTTCTCGGCCTCGTTCGCTGAGCATAACAGGGTGTTGACTGTTGGTGCTGCCTGCAATTGAACTCCTGTGTCAACTGTCTGCTCTTCTCACTCCGTGGATAGGAATCACTTGCGTTGAAGTGTGTGATGCCCTCTTCCTTAAGCAACTTCCAGATGAGAGGGTAGTCAATCTTTCGCAAGCACACGTGCGTTCCACGCACAGCCGTTACCGCCCAAGGGAATCTGTACTATGTCAGTAGGTTCAAACAAGACTAGAGGGCCCCAGACTGGAGGGTAGGCTTCTTACGTCCAACCAACGGCGTGGAACCTAGACATAGTCAGCAAGTGCCTTTCGACAATCTACCCTGATGCACTTACATGGGTAAAGTCCATAGCTAGATGGTAGAAATCCATGGTCAGCTAGGTGCAGCAAGCGTGAGCTGGGTTTGATCATGACTTACATATTTGCAACGGCCAGTGTGATAATTCAGTCCTGATTCGATGACGTTTCCAACAGCTACACGGAAATACAATCAGCACAACTTGATACCTGTGCAAGAGTCTCAGACCAGTTCATGCATCACTTACCAGCCAAATAGGCCCCGCGGTGTGTGTAGACTACGCCCTTGGGCCGACTCGTGGTTCCTGAAGTGAAAGGAATGGCAAGCATATCATCCTCATTACCACATTGTGAGTGAAGGCCGGCCCAACCCTGACCGTGTTGCTGGTCATACTGCAGGCCCTCCAAGACGGCATCATCAAAGGGGCCACTCAAGGCGCCCTCCGTGTAGTCGGTATCAGTGTCAATAATCAAGGGGACCTGGGGGTGTTTCTCCTTGAACTCGTCAAGCAGGTGGACGAACTCCTGGTCGACGATGATTGAATCGACCTCGGCAAAGTCGAAGATGTAGGTGATGTCATCCGGCTTCAATCTGTAGTTGACACCCACATTAACCCCGCCAGCGGCGGCAATACCAAAGATGGACTCGAGAAAGGCGGGTGTATTGGGCGCAAGAATCCCGACCCTCTTGAAGCCGTGCTTCTTCAGGTAATAAGCAAGGCCGCGCGCTCTGTCTGCGAACTCGATGTAAGACCGTCGCAGAGTTCGGCCGTTGGCTGTCACATGGAAGATGGCTTCCGCATCGGGCTCTATCGCGGCGGCACGCTCTAGAAAGAAGGTTGGCGAAAGCTGGTGTATGTGGTGGTTCGGACGGGGCTCATCGACCTTGGCTGTGGAGGATGAGAGGAGGTGTCCGAGGATGTTCTTAAGACGAGATGGAGGGCTAGACATGACTACTGCTGACTGGAAGAGCCTCTTCTACAGAACCGAGAGGTAAGATGTAATAAGGAGGATGAGATTGTCAATTTCTGCGTGCTGAATATGAAATCGTTGGCTGATTTGAAAGCTGGCGGTCACAAACACATGGAGGCAAATGTGGAAGAAATGGTGACTGAGAGGAAGGACTTGTATGCTGCGATGGAAAGCCAGCCATTCTTGCTACCAGCCACAATCCCTCTTCCACTTACCCGATCCCCGAGCCAGGCTTAGCTGTCCTTGCTGGCATACCCCAATTGTCCAGCTTTTTTTGAGACACTTTGACGGACCGAACCCGACAGCTCCAGCTCCCAGCTCCTGCTTAAGCCCGGCTGTCCTCGGTAGGAAATTACCCCACACTTGGCAAGTGTGCTTCCAGGGCTGCTCCCCACCAGGTTCAAGCTCCCGTCCCAGGCAATGGAAGTCGGGGTAATTGCGCTAGACCGGATTGGACCTCTTCGATATTAGGTAAGCAGGACTCACAGAGAAGCGCATAAGCCCGCGCCAGGGGGTGAAAGAACGTCCAGCCAGCGGCGAGCAAAGGGCCCACTGCACTTAATGAAAGTCGCGTCGTCGCTGTGCCACCGTGCTGTAGCCTTGCGCGACCATGCAAAGTGCAGCGCGAAGTGCCAACGCCCGAAATTTTATCACCGACATCAGCGGGACCTCCTTGAAGCACCGCCATCTCTATCCTTCCCAACTATCCATCTCGAACATCGGCGATTCGAGTCATACGTCACTTCCTCACATATTTCGCCTCGAGTATAGCTTTCTCTGCGACGGTATCACGACGACACCAGCCGATACTTTTCTTGACCTTCCGACCTCTCGCCAGCAATCATGGCAGCTATGTGAGTGCCCATCAACAGCTCCTTCTTTCGCACAGATCCCATGTCCGTCGAGTTGCCGAGAAACAATGGATTTGGTGCGATACAACTATTCCACAATCAGGCGCAATTGGAGCTTCTCCCACTTTTCTATCGTTCGATAGCTAACGAGATGCCCCTTCCTAGAGAGAGCTTCGACGGCATCTACTTGGACCTGTCCAAGGAGAGCGGCAAGTGCAGATTTGCCGAGAGCGGTCTCGGTTGGAAGCCCTCCGGCGGTGGCGATACCTTCACTCTCGATCACAGCACAATTGCCTCGGCGCAGTGGAGCCGAGCTGCCAAGGGCTACGAAATCAAGATCCTCAACCGAGACTCGCGCATCATCCAGCTCGATGGTTTCCAACAAGAGGTAAAGAAGCGCGTCAGTCGTTAGATTCAGGATGAATGGAATGCTGACTTGGTATATGGCGTGAAGGACTATGAGCGTCTTGCCAAGCTCTTCAAGAACTGGTACAGCACCGCGCTCGAGAATAGGGAGCACGCCCTGAGGGGATGGAACTGGGGCAAGGCCGACTTTGGAAAGGCTGAGCTGTCTTTCAACGTCCAGAGCCGCCCTGCGTTCGAAATCCCCTACTCCGAAATCTCAAACACCAACTTGGCGGGTCGTAACGAGGTCGCGGTCGAATTCTCAGCTCCCACGGACAAGAACGATACTGGCACTAATGGCCACTTGGGCGGTGCGCGCGGAAAGGGCAAGAAGGCGGGTGCTGGCAAGGATCAGCTCGTTGAGATGCGGTTTTACATTCCCGGAACCGTCAAGAAGGAAGTGGAGGGCGACGAGGCTGGTAGCGACGCCGGCGGCGAAGAGGAGAAGAACGCCGTCACCCTGTTCTACGATACCCTGATGGAGAAGGCCGAGATTGGCGAGACCGCAGGCGATACTATCGCTACGTTCCTGGACATCCTCCATCTCACACCCAGGTATGTGCGAATCGCTATAGCTGTCTATAACCCAAAAGTTTCTGACACCCCGACAGAGGTCGTTTCGATATCGACATGTACGATGCGTCTTTCCGTCTCCGTGGTAAGACGTACGACTACAAGATCCAGTACGACGCCATCAAGAAGTTTATGGTGCTTCCCAAGCCAGACGAGACCCACGTGCTTCTTTGCGTTGGCCTGGACCCGCCCCTGCGCCAGGGTCAGACAAGATACCCGTTCATCGTCATGCAGTTCAAGAAGGACGAGGAGGTGACGATTGATCTTAACCTCACCGAGGAGCAAATAGACGAGCGGTACAAGGACAGACTTCAGCCTCACTACGAGCAACCTCTTCACCAAGTCATCACCTACATCTTCCGAGGACTTGCCAACAAGAAGATCACGACGCCTGCCAAGGACTTCCAGACGTATGTGTCTCACCATCCGTGCGAGAGAATCTGTGCTAACATCCACGCAGCCATCGCAATCAGTTCGGTATCAAGTGCTCGATCAAGGCCAGTGAAGGCTTCCTGTACTGCCTGGAGAAGGCGTTCATGTTTGTGCCTAAACCTGCGACGTACATTGCCTACGAGCAAACAGCGTCCATCACATTCTCTCGTGTTGGAGGTGCCGTTTCTGCGCTGTCAACCTTTGATATCACCGTGCAGATGAAGAACGGCGCTGGCTCATCACAGTTCAGCAACATCAACCGCGAGGATCTCAAGGGGCTCGAGGAGTTCTTCAGACTCAAGGGGTTGCGCGTTAAGAACGAAATCGATGAAGAGACCAACCTCATTGCTGCAGCCATGCGCGACCAAGCTATGGACGATTCGGAAGAGGAGGTTGTTGGTGCCGCCAAGGCCGACCGTGGCTCAGCTGACGAGGACGAAGAGAGTGTCGATGAGGACTTTAACGCCGAGAGTGAGAGTGACGTTGCCGAAGAGTTTGACAGCGACCACGAGAGCTCTGGCTCAGGCAGCCAAGAGAGCGACGTGGATAACGACGACGGCGACGATGGCGAGGATGACGAAGAAGAGGAAGAGGAGAGGCCCAAGAAGAAGAAGAAGACGGGTTGATTGCGCCCTTTCGACTTTTGGGTGTGTTTATCGGCTGGGTGGAGAGGCTGCTGGGCGTTTTTATTTGGGTGTCGGATGAAATGTAACACTATGATTATCTACTTTGACGGTTGCCGACTGGGCGTCGCGGCGAAGCAGAAGAGGTTAATACTTTTCTTGGAAGAGACCCTGCGAGTCTTTTTGCAACACGAGAATTTACTGAGTGCGTTTTTGTTTAGTATCAAGTGACTGTTTACTCACGGCAGTATGCAAGTGGGGTCCATGTAAGCTTGCCTAGTACCTTCACCTTGTACGCCAGTGAGTCAACCCAGCACATGCCACACGACCACGCAGATGTGATTTCGTGTCATGACCACCAAGCGCCAGCCGTTTACTACTTGTGTCCCCTAGGTCCTCACGACCGCATGAACAAGCTACAGCGAACCTGCCACACACCTTACACGTCCAGATACCATGAACGAGCCCATCCCGCTCCCGGGCTCAGGTTCAGGCTCAACGGGAACGATGCCCCGCCTCGGTCTCGGCGTCTACCAGCTCAGGGGGGAAGAATGCTTCGCGGCCTGTCTGGCGGGGTTAGAGGCCGGGTACCGGCACATTGATACCGCGCGGCTGTATGGGAATGAAGAGGAGGTCGGGAGGGCCGTTGGGGTGTTTTTGAGACGGCGAGAGGAGGGGTCATCGGATGGGTGTGGTGATGGACGGGGAGTAGAGGGGGCAGGGAAGAGTAGAGTCCAGAGGGAGTATCTGTTTTTGACGACCAAGGTTGAACGGTGGGAGGGCGACGGGGAGAAGATGTATGAGAGTGTATTGGGGAGTGTAATGAGAATTGCTGGGGAGGAGGAGGGTGGAGGGTACGTTGACTTGATTCTCGTACATCGTCCCGTTGCGCGGTGGAGGGATATCTGGAGCGTGTTGGGGAGGTTTGTGAGGGAGGGTAGGGCGAGGGTGCTCGGGGTTAGTAATTTGGGATCGGGGCGCTGGAGGAGATGAAGAAGGGTTGCGAGGGGGTGTTGCCTTGTGTGAATCAGATTGAGGTGAGTTTTCCTTCCTCGCCGTGTTAGGACATTGACAGAGGTCTGCAGAGCAAAGTCTATTGAGGGAGAGATGCTGATGAGTGTGGGAATAGCTTAACCCGTGGTGTCAACAGCGAGAACTAGTCGCCTACTGCCAACAAAACGGCATCGTGGTACAAGCGTACAGCCCTCTCGCGCGCGGGCAGCGGTGGGCGGATCCGGTGTTGAGAGAGGTCGTGGAGCGGGTTCGGCGCCGTGTCGGGGTCGGTGTCCGGGAGGATTCAATACCGGTATCCGGACGACGGGTTGCGGGGACGAACTGCCGCAACGACGACCCACGGGAGCGGGAGACGGCAGAGGAGATTCCGGTGGAGACGGCAGTCACGAAAAAGAGAGAGATCACGGAGGCTACAGTCACGCCGGCGCAGGTGCTAATCCGGTGGTCTCTGCAACGCGGATATGTGCCGCTTCCCAAGAGTGCGGACGCAGAGAGAATCAGGGAGAATGGGGACGTGTTTTGGTTCAAGCTTGATGAGGTCGAGATGGGCATGTTGGACGGATTGGATCTGGGGGCTGCGGGGGCGCTGTTTCCTAAGAATGTGAGTTGATGGTGGGATACATCACTCACCTTAACTTAGGACTTCCCATGAAACGCATCCTGATAGAAATGCTCTGGAATAGTCTGCAGCCACGGGGCTATAGGCAGCGTGTAGAGACTTCGTTCCGAGTTTGTAAAATGCAAAGCAAGATTGATCGGCTTTCGGTTTCTGTATGTGGCCGCATCCTATTTCTATAGAGAATCCCCAGTTCACTTGCATTTAAGTCTCATGACAGGATGTCACAATATTGAATATGACCGCAACACACAGCAAAAGCGTGCAAAAGCGTGTAGACCTTAGCACGCCTGCTAATGAGGTTACTACAAGTGCCCCACGCAGACAGCGCTCCCAGCGGCCGGGGCAGGACGGAAGGTTCGCCGAGACCCGACCCGGGGCTTTATTCGGGCGCGGGTTGGTGGCGCTGGCGCATGCGCATGAACTCATCAAGTGGGCGGTGGAACCATTCCAGGGCGGCCAGCACAGGTGCCAGCTTCACCTGGAATCTTCGATGCTCATCCTGGGCCATCCCACCTCGCGCTGCGCTTGCGGAGGGGCAGTGAAGCAGTGACCTGCCTGCTTGCAGCTTTGGGGTAAGGATCGCCAAACAAACAAAAAACATCGACAAACGTCTCTGCCCTCTGACCTGCAAGCGCTTGACTTTAACCTTTAAAACTTCCTCCAACCCAGCAGTCCATCATCGTCATTTCAGATACTTGACCCGCTTTCTAAAGACGACGACCATGAGCGAAAGTAGCTTTCAACGTCCGTTGCGCGGCGGCTGCCAGTGCGGGCGCAACAGTTACATCATCGAGGTCCCGCAAGGCACCACCGAGAAAGCCCAGGTGCTATTCCATACAGACTCAATGCACAGTAAGTGGCTTCGTCTCGCCAATTTCTCGCGATTTCCGTGAGCAGGCGTTCTCAAATAATCCCGCCGTGCATACAGCCGATCGTGCCTCACCTCTTCGAGAGCAGAAGCTCCGCTAACCCATGATCTGATGCGCAGGAGTTCCTCTCGCAACCCCACTGGCCGCCATGATCCGAGTGCCACTCTCGTGGTATCACAGCTCAACCCACGCCTTCTACCCGGACGAAAGGCACTCGGCGATCCGCCGCGTTTTCGAATCAACCTCCAACCACCACCCTTCGAGACGAAACTTTTGCGGCTTCTGCGGCACGCCGCTATCCTACTGGACCGAGAGACCCCCTACCGAGGCGGGGTTCATCCACCTGACCCTTGCGAGCCTGCGAGGTGAAGACCTTCGAGATCTGGAAGATCTGGGGCTGATTCCAGAGTTTGAAGAGCCGGAAGAACAGCCCGCTGTTCCGACAACAACCACGGTAATTGGGAGGGAAACCCAGGGCGTTCCTTGGTTCGAGGGCATGATCGATGGTACCCGTTTGGGCAACTTGCGTCACAGCCAGGTTGTTGATCATAGCAGAGACGGGAAAATTAGGGTTGAATGGGAGATTGTAGAGTGGACCGAGGGAGACGATGCTCCCGACGTGGCCGCAGCAGCGGATGGCGATGTTAATATGACGACAAATCATCCCGGAAAACGCAAAATGAACGACCGAGAGGACGAGGATGCGGCTGTCGACGGCATGCATTAAGCCTTGTCCATGCCGTGCATTGCAGCGGCAGGGTAGGTCGTAATGAGTCCAGGGCCGTCTCGAGCTGGGCCGGCTCACCTTCGTCCCGGCTTCCGTACACCTCGGTGAGGCTCCGGATAGAGTCTCCAAAACAAAGACTTTGCTTCTGGCGAAGACTCTGTCCCGTTAGTCTTGAAAAGTTGGCGCAAAGATGTGGCAGTCCCAAAAGATGGCACTTTTGATTTGCACACACCAGAGGATGTGCTGCGTAGCAGTTACGGAAAGAATTGAAATGAGCTTCAAAGAGGCAGGCAGGCATGCGCGCTGTACTGACTGCAGCGTCCACGATGAAAGCAGCAAAGATGAAGGTACCTTGAGATAGCTGTAGATGCTACCATGTACACACATGCCCCAGCAGGGAATAGAAGTTGCAAAATCTCCGATGATCTTCCGGAAGTGGTGTTGTTTTGTGTCGTTTTGAGCTTCCGCTACCTTGACCGAAGGCCTGTTGGCTGTAAGTGAAGGCTCCGCCAGCCGGGCAGACGGCTTTGTCAACCGAAATCGAGAAGACACCAAGCAGTTGCATCGTTTCCTTGGATGACCGGGAGCGGCGTAGGCCTTCCGCGTAGAAACAACAGATCCGTGGTTCTTCATGTGATACGGCGTGTTGTAATCGCGCAAACTAAGGTGCTTACGCTGGGGCTGTCGGCCTTGGAGGGGCGGAATTGGATTTCAAGCAGGATGCAGCTCCTCGTAAAGTCGTATCTGTACATCCATCCATGAGCCGCTTGATAAAAGCGCCGGACGGAGAAAAAGCAACCGCAAGAAGCCTTGAAATAATGCCAGGTGTTCTGAAGTTGAGATGCCGTCTATATCAGAGTCTTGCTATGAAGCTGGGGACGAGAAAACTGGATGGTGCGGAGATTATGGGACGATAGCCGGAGTTGGAGAAGCTTCTTGGAGTGACATTGGATGAGCCGGGTGTAGGTAGATACAGGTGGAAGGGAGACTCCCCCGTCCGGCGTCCGCTCACCGAGAACGACGGGATTTTGTTCGCGGAGCCGGGAGTTTTCTGAAATTTTGGATTGGGCGTGACCAAAGTAAGGAAAATCGTGGCAGTAGCGGCTGGTTACCCGTTGTCTGGGAGTCAAGGAGAGCTCGGGAGGATTCCCCGTGGCCATGGTCGGTCGCCTTATGCGAGCGATTGCGTAGGACGAGACCTTGCAGAGTGTGCTGTGAGCATTGCTCCATGTCTGCTACCAGCCGATCCTGGCGAGGCAATCAGACATTGGGACCAGCTCAGATTGCGCTAGCGGCCGGCGGAATTGAGCCGTCACCGGAGTTTTGGCGACAGCGTTTGGCGATATGCATGTCGCCGGCCTTCCAGTGTGCATATGTGTCCGTACCGATATGTTTTACACAACCTGTGTGTGTGATGTGCAAGGAGAACTTGGTGCGTGGGCTGCAGAACTTACAGCGAATTCATGCTGGCGCTTGTGCCGAATAGAGACAAGTGTCCAATCATATAAGTTCGGAGATCGTCAGGTGAGGAATCGAGGTTTGTTCGTGTTTCGAATTGGCTCTTGGAGGCTGGTGCTGGTAAACCGTAAGACCAGCTGGGCAGAGAAAAGGTCATGTTTTGACGGATAGACGGGCCGTCGTGTGCTCTCTAGACTCTGGGAAGCGGCGGCGGAGAGGAGAGAAATGGGGAGCACTTGGGAAAAAGGGGACCCCACGGCGGGGTAATGGAAGGCGCCCCTGGCCTAGGCGCAGATGCACTTCCCCTGTTGGGTGTCGGGTCGAAGAAACCCCAAGGAGGGAAAGAAGGTAGATACTTGCCTATTCGTACTTCTTTTCCATCGCCTCCAAATTCATTTGGAAAGAGGCATCGTGATGAGGACGTGCTTGCCCCCCGTCTCACAGGATTCCATGTACACGTACATCAAGGTTGCACAAGGTCACTCTACTGGCGGCAGCTGCCGTGGACATTTCCCTACTGCCTTCATTCCTTCCATCTCTCCCGTAGCCTCTGCCGACTCTAGCGAATGGAACATGACGATGCGCTTCTTTTCGGTGTTCCACGCACATTCTACTGTCGGAAAATCCCCGCGCCATCTGGGTAACGAGATAGGTACACCGCTCAAAGTAGACGCTACTGGCGGGCAAAGAAAACTCACGTTGGACGCCTCATCTTTACGAACCAAAGGTAGGTAACTTGCCAGATCACGCCTCCGACCCATCCATCCAACGCCGACGCCAATGCCAATCCCAACGCCAGCACCATCCATCTTCGGGCCATGTTCTAGTCCTAGCTTCTCGGTGTCGACGGTCCGACATTGGAGACGTCCAGAGTACCAGATTGACCAAGGCGCTACCTGATACCACGTCCATCCGTCCCATGTCGTTGTCTGATGTGCCCAGTCTGTACCTCACTCTCACTGCACACCTGCACGCTTAGTACAGACGGATACCTTGACACGATGCGGGTGTTTGTCCCATCTTTTTTTTCTTCCTTCCCTGCCCTGTCTACGTTAGTTTATTATACTCGAGTAATCCTTGTATCTGGCTACCTTTCCTTTTGCCTAAACCTACCAAGGACGTCCAAGTACCCCCGTCCATCCCAAGGTCACAATGCCGTTTTAATTGCGCCGCGCTGCTTCCTTCCGTCTTTCTTTTGCATCTTATAAGTATCGTGGCAGCACCTCACTGTCCATCTGTACGATCCCATCTTGCTCCCTCCTCTCCCCGTCGCCTCCTTTTACATCTCATCTCTCTTCTCGATCTCTTTTGACCACTTGTTATCAAGTGGTTCGTTTCTTGTCGGGGCAAATAATCTACTCTTGGCTGAGCCATCATCATCCCACCGTCAAGCCCATCGAAACCGCCCCATCAGTCTTAGCGTAGGTGCCTCGCAGACTGACGACTCTCTGAGAATCATAATACCAAACCTCCTCTCCGTAGCTGGTCGCCCTTCAAACCCGTCCATCATGTCTCTTCCCAACGACTTCCTTTGGGGCTTTGCCACCGCATCGTACGTATTTCATCTCATCATCAACCCGGCTCGGCCCATCCCCAATGCCCCGGTCTGGTTGTTATCACCATGCATATTCGCTCCCTCTTCCGCCGATATCCCGATTTGGATGACTTACAAGCATTCTCCCACCACACTTCGCCCTCTTCCCTCCGTCTTTCCCGTCCCGCCTGCAAATTCCACTTCCCCTCCGAGCTGCCCCCACTATCGTCTTTCCCCTCTCCCCTCATTTAGCGACCACGACGACACAACATGCGAGACCCCTGCTGACGCTATTTGTCCACCACTACAGTTACCAGATTGAGGGTGCCGCCGAGAAGGACGGTCGTGGTCCTTCCATCTGGGACACCTTCTGCGCCATCCCCGGCAAGATTGCCGACGGCAGCTCCGGTGCCGTCGCCTGCGATTCCTACAACCGCACTGCCGAAGACATTGCCCTGCTCAAGTCCGTTGGCGCAAACACCTACCGCTTTTCCCTTGCCTGGTCGAGAATCATCCCTGTCGGTGGTCGCAACGACCCCATCAACCAGGCCGGCCTTGACCACTACATCAAGTTCGTCGACGACCTCCTTGAGGCTGGCATCACCCCATTCATCACCCTCTTCCACTGGGATCTCCCCGATGGACTCGACAAGCGCTACGGTGGTCTCCTGAACCGTGAGGAGTTCCCTCTCGACTTTGAGCACTACGCCCGCATCGTCTTCAAGGCCATTCCCAAGTGCAAGAACTGGATCACCTTCAACGAGCCTTGGTGTTCCTCCATTCTCGGCTACAGCAGTGGCTTTTTCGCACCCGGTCACACCTCAGACCGCAGCAAGTCCGCCATCGGTGACTCTTCCCGCGAACCCTGGATCGTTGGCCACAACTTGCTCGTTGCCCACGGCCGCGCAGTCAAGGTCTACCGCGAGGAGTTCAAGCCCACCAATGGTGGCCAGATTGGTATCACCTTGAACGGTGATGCCACTTACCCCTGGGACCCTGAGGACCCTGAGGACGTCGAGGCCTCTGACCGCAAGATCGAGTTCGCCATTTCCTGGTTCGCTGACCCAATCTACTTCGGCAAGTACCCCGACTCCATGCTCAAGCAGCTTGGGGACCGCCTGCCCGAGTTTACGCCCGAGGAACTCGCCCTTGTCAAGGGATCCAACGACTTCTACGGCATGAACCACTACACGGCCAACTACATCAAGCACAAGACCACCCCTCCTGAGGAGGACGACTTCCTTGGTAACCTCGAGACCCTCTTCGAGTCCAAGAGCGGTGAGAACATCGGCGAAGAGACCCAGTCTTTCTGGCTGCGCCCTAACCCCCAGGGCTTCCACAACCTCCTTGTCTGGCTCTCCAAGCGCTACGGCTACCCGCCCATCTACGTCACAGAAAACGGTACCTCCCTCAAGGGCGAGAACGACATGCCCCTTGAGCAGATTCTCGAGGACGACTTCCGTGTCAAGTACTTTGACGGCTATGTCAAGGCCATGGCCGATGCCCACGAGAAGGACGGTGTCAACGTCAAGGGCTACATGGCGTGGTCCCTCATGGACAACTTCGAGTGGGCCGAGGGCTACGAGACTCGTTTCGGCGTCACTTTTGTCGACTATGAGAACGACCAGAAGAGATACCCCAAGAAGAGCGCCAAGAGCCTCAAGCCCCTCTTTGACAGTCTCATCAAGAAGGCCTAAGTATACATCACCACGTGTGAGAGTTGACGTATAGGAAGAGCAGGTTAAAGGGCATCCATTAAGCTTGGATATGCATATCAGTTATGAAAATGTACAGAGCACTGAGCTGCTCATGATGATGTATGAAGATTCTTTGTTGCGATCCAATATGTAGTTTGGATATAAATACCGAATTAAGGCTTAAGTCTGATGTCGATCATGGAGTGAACTGGAGTATGAGATCTAGGTTCTCTTGCTGGATTGTGATTACCGGCTAAACTTCGTGTTTTCGGTTACATTTGAACCTCGCTTAAAAACTTTAGGTACATATCACCCAGAGCTAACATGGCTTGTCAACCAGCAATTGAGGCGGCCTTTGTAAGCCATGAAGAACTGCCGAACCAGAGTTTGGGCTAAGGGGGTTCCATAGCCAACATGCCACGAATCATGCCGGCTCGGCCTTTTTTCCTTCTCATATTCCCTGTGTCTTCACGTGAATAAGACATATTCGAAGAACGAAGAATTCGCTGGCTGTCATTTATGACTTGCCTGTGGTATACAGGCCCCTCACAGTTGCGAGCGCCGTGGATGCCACGGATCACGGTATGCCATGAAATTAATTATCGACGAAGTAAAGATAAGCGAAAAGCCAGCGAGGTCTAAAGAGGGCTTATGTACGGTATCGGATGTGCCTGATTTGAGCCGCATACGGTCGACCCAGCAATGGGTCGGCTGGGCGGCTGGGTTAATCCCGACCACCCAGCTCTTGATGTTGGGCCATAATACGATGCCGAACATGGAGCCGCTGCCCACCTGCAAGGCCTCGGCGCTGTTTTAGGTCCCGGCTTTAGATGCGTAGTCGCGTTTGAGCTATTGAAATCGCAGTAGAAGGGAGAAGAGAGCCCAAAGGGCGGCTCGAGTTGTTTGCTTCAGCATCACCTTAGGCATCACCAGCTCTTCGTCTCATGCAAGTTGCAACCACAGATATCACAAACAGACAAAGGCTCTGTTTGAAATCATAAGCATTTCGCCAGCGCGTTCTCTTTATCAAGTGGGATTCTGCCCAGCTTGACCTACAGAGAGCAACAATATCTGGCTTCAGCCAATGGCGTCCAGTTCCAACTGAACGGTTTGAGACAACAAGCACCCTGTTTGCTTTTATTTGAGCTTCGGCCGAGAACCAACGCAGAGACTCTTTGGTGCCTGACGCGGTTCGGAAAGATCTCAGTTCGCGCAAAATGACAGCAAGACAATGTCTCGTCTCAGCGACAGGCCAAGAAAGCCAGATGCCGTTGCCCGCGCGATCCTTGCCGAGGAATCACGGAATCGCGCCAGGCATGGCATACATCGTGACTCCATCTGCCAATTTCTCCAGGTTCAGGGCAGAGCGGCTGGATGGACTTGGCAATGTCTTCCCGCTGGCTTCACCCCCTTGCAGATGCTTAAGCATGTTTCCCAAAGTGGGTGAGCCACAGTCTTTGTGCGCACTTATATCCCCAGCTCGTGTCCCCAGTTCAAACGACGCCCTAGAACTCTGCGTGGTTTGCTTTCTTCGATTATCGCTTTTGCGGCTTGGTCCTCGTTCTTATTATGCCGCTTCAGTGGCTCCGCGGCCGCTTTGCCTACACGCCGCTTCAAACCGACGATGCGGCCTTCTCGGGTTCTTTACCATGGAAGGGCAGGCCTTCCCCTACAATCTTTACTCCGAGACAGCTCAAGTTGGCTGCGTTCACTATTCTGGGGCTATTGTTGCTATCGGGCGTTGGAGTCTACAACCGCGATCAGATTGAAGCCATTCGAGCAGCTTACTCAACTTCTCAACACGACGAGGCATCTGACGTCAAGTCTGTAGACTGGTCTCGGTTTGCGTACGTCCAGTATGTCACTAATAAAGACTATCTCTGTAACTCGGTCATGTTTTTTGAGAGGCTGCAAGAACTTGAGAGTAAAGCGGACCGAGTTCTGATGTACCCCTCCGTCATGCTCGCTGATCCTCATGAGAAGGAACATGAAGATTCATCAGATGATGCCAAACTCCTCATCCTTGCTCGGGAGAAGTACAACGTAAAGCTTGATCCAATATCAGTTCAACATCGGACAGGCTCAGATCGTAAGTCGCCCCTCCGGGATCATCATCCTGGCCGCCAAGAGCTGACATGGAGCTCTTATCTAGCAACCTGGGCGGATTCTTTCACAAAACTTCTCGCCTTTAACCAGACGAAATACGACCGCGTACTTTCAATCGACTCGGACTCAACTCTCCTACAACACATGGACGAGCTCTTCTCTCTTCCGCCAACCACAGTCGCCATGCCACGTGCGTATTGGCTTCACCCAGACAAACACGTTTTATCCTCCCAAGTTATTCTCATTCAACCAATTCAAGTGGAATTCACCCGCATTGCATCCAAGATCAATAATGCCGGAAGAAACGATTACGACATGGAGCTCGTCAACGAGTTATACCAGGATAGCGCCATGGTCCTACCGCACCGGCCTTACGATCTTTTAACGGGGGAGTTTAGCAAAGACAACCATCAATGGTACCTTGGTAGCGACGAAGAAGCCTGGGACCCAGTCGCCGCCTACAACGAGGCAAAGTTGCTGCATTTCTCGGACTGGCCTTTGCCTAAACCCTGGTTGGACGCCCCCGAAAACTTGGTCCGGGAGAGAGAGCCTAAGTGTGTGGCCATGATGGATGGACTTGGAAGTTGTGCCGCGAGAGATATCTGGCGTGGGATCTACGAAGAGTTTAGGGAACGCAGGAAAGTAAGTCTGCTGGAAAGTCTCAAGTAGTTTGCAAACAGCGCGGCTAACAACGAGACAGCGAGTCTGTGACACGAGTCCCCCGGAAACACTAGAGAATGGCCGCAGACGCCGCTAGTCATGGAGGTATAGGTTTCATTAAGTCGGAGTAAGGTGGTTTTCGTCGTAACTTCTCTCTATTTAATCGAACTAAAACTCCACTTTGACGCATGAATCCGACAAGTGCTTAGGATGGATAACCCCGGCTGCTGCACACCAACTCAGCGTTGTTTGATAATTCCATTATCGAGCTATCGCGACTGATGGATCATGCAAGGGTCAAAAAAAGGAAATACACTCTAGCAAAGACCTTTTCAATAGACTAAAAAGTTGATACAAAAGCCAAACGAAATAGTGATGGGTAATATGACTATCTACGGTTGCATAGAGTATGTACACGCGCGCCAAGTTCGTTCTGATCCTCAAATGATAGGGACCACACGATCCCATACTCCTGATTTGAGCAACTCAGAATTGTCGAGAGCTGTATAGAATAGCACTCCTAGAAGCAGAGAGCGATATATGATGATATCATCAATCTTTTGATTCAATTCCTCGTTCTCTCTGTCTTCATTACTTGACTCAGAGTGGCAACCTACTATTTTCGCTAACCTGCTTAGCATTTGATGAGTGTTGAAGAAATTGGTTGGCACGTTGTACGAGGGTCCTACTAATCCTTCTACTTGTATCTTAGACTCCTCTAACTTTCTCCTGAAATGTTCCAGATATTCACGATCTTCAGGAGTTATTTCCAAGTCTGTCTGTGTTGGCGGGCCACCGAAGAACTTGTTACGCAAGTGACATCGTAGAGCTCCGAATCTGCCACTATGCCACTGCGAATAAGCTCTTGTTCTACCGTGATTCGCCACTTTTATCTTCAAGGCTGCTTTGAGGCCTTCGAGCTCGAGTTCGAAGCCATCGACTAGGTTGTGGAGGGCTTGAATCGTCTTGGAGTGAATGTCTCGCACTGTCATCGGAGGCTGTGGCGGTTCCGACGTTTCCAGTGTTGGCTCCGTTCTATCGGGAACTTGAAGAATACCTTTCTGCGTCATAGTCTCTGCTCGGGATAGAATCTGCGTCGTAAAGAACAAGAGCTGAATCCGGCCTTCAATGTTGCCCATGCCACCATCGCAATCTGCTAGCCAGGCGTCCGCGTAATTCAAGTGTTTGCGTGCTTCTTCACGAAGCTTTTCCTTTTGACTAAATGTGAAGTTCGAAAATTTTTGTCGAAGATCCATGGGATTATTGAGTAGGGTAAGACACAACCGAAGTACTTGTGGACAGCGGAGCCATGGGTAGTCTCTCCCTGCTACTTCACCTCTTATCGCTTTGAAAGCATGTCCTCGCAGTTCAGCAGCTGATAAGTCATCAAACGGTTGCTTAAAGAACGAAAGAGAACGGCCATTTTCATCCCAGTCCGATTCTTGAAATCGATCGAATCGAACTTTACTCCAAAACCCTCCGTTTAGAGCAATGGCCGTGAACGGGTTATACTCTTTCCACACTGGTCCTGGGAAGAGAGACGGAGCGAACTTTGGCGACTTGGCCCAGAGGAAGACGACGGTCGGTATGTAGTGCCGGCTGAGGGTGTAGCGATCTGGGAGAAAGCAGTCTGTTCCCTTGATCACGGGTCTATACTCGGGGTGCAGTAAGAAGAGCCGATGGTCTGTCCGGTGTGTCTCGATTATCCCGTCTGCAGATTTCCCGTCCTGCAGCTCAATTAGACCATTTGCATGCAGCGATGCCTCTCGAAGTTTTTCCAGACTAGGCGTCGGCGTAATGTCGTTGTCTCTGCTATGATGCTCAGAAAATGCCCCAATGACACCGAGAACTGGGTGCTGACGGAAATCAAATTGGAAGCCGCAGCCAATGATGACAGGGTATAAATCTGCGTCGGCGTCCAACCGCTGGACCCCAGCAGCTGCTGCGATTACCACAATCGCGCCAACCTCTGCAGAAGCAGGAGCGGCAACAAAGTCCTCTGGAAGATAGTCGGCAGTGACTGGCATAAGATCAAACCCGTCGAAGTTTTCCAACCCAGTGGTTTTGAAAAGAGCAAGCCATGTAGCTGGATATGACGGCACATCAGGAATGGGTGCTTTTCGTGCTTCCACTCTTCTGGCCTCAATTGGAGAGCCAACAACATCAGAGGGCAGTAACCTAACAAGCGCACTCGCTGGGAGCAAGGGCGGCAGCCTTTGTTTCTCTTCCTCCCTCGGCTTTTTCTCTTCTTCGTTCTTCAGCTTTCGTATCGCATCGTCAAGCTGTCGTTTCAGATTGTCCAGTCTCAGCATGGGAGTATAGGCGGTGTAACTCCAGCTCATTTCGGAAAGAATCCATTTCCTTGTGGTTCGTTTCGACCATTTCCCGATGGCTCGACCATTTGCTCTACGACCACCTTTCCCACCCGCAAGAACAGCTTGGAAGACTGTAGCAAGAGCAATCATGGAGGCTACCAATCCAATCAAAAGCGTAAAGCCGAAGGTGATGGGATCCCAATCGATGCCTGCATCTTGTGCTTGTTTTTGCTCCGCAAGAATGTTCAGAAGAGCCCGGAGCAGACAGTCCGTAGAGTTTTGGTTTTCGAGACACTCCGAACCGGCGGTGTCCATGGTGACAGTACGATTGAAGATGAGCCACTGCCAAAGGTGAAGGCTCGAAGATGAAGGCCGGGGGATGAAAATGTTGTTAGGGTGCGCTTCTTGCATAGATAGGACTAATGTGCTTAGGTATGTGTTGAAGATGAGGCTGATTCATGCGCTCAATTCTGCCTTGCGGCCTAAAAAGGACGTAGTGAGGTGACAAGGCTTCAATTACTGCACCCATTCAGGAGGACATGTTTCTTCATGGCGCTGTATTCAACGTACATGGGGCCACTGATTGATTGGCCGGTCATATCGTGGCAGTACAATAAAAGAACCACCTCTGCAAGTGAGATCGCCTTGACAAACGCTCTCATGTACTGCTGACTCGCGGGGGTAGGTTGGAAAGAACTCCATTTCCCCCCTAGCCTTTTGGTTTTTGCGTTAGGTGGAGCTGCGTACATTACGCTGAACAAGCTGAAGAATGCGTTTGAACCAACACCAATTATTTCTCAGGAATGGTCTTGACGGGCACTACATTACTCCCGTCCCTGACTTCTCCGCCCTTCTTCTCATCATCCCTCTCACCAATTGACTTCCTAGATGACCGACCCCCCTCTTCCTCCCCCCTCCCTTGCCCAGCCACACTTGTAACCCCAGACCCAACACTGCCCCCCTCTTCATCCCCCTCAGCCTTAGCAGCCCTCCTCAAATACCACTTGAATACGTACACCAAAATCTGCGCCATGAAAACCTGCTCGATGGTATACAACAACACTGGAATCTGAATCAACGCCCTCGTCAAATCATCCGACTGCGTCCACATAGCCGTCGCCAGCGGGATTCCCAACGACGTTGTCTTGGCCGCGCCGCAGAAGCAGACGGCAATCACCTGCTCTCTCGGTAACTGTTGAACCGTGACAGCGCGTCGGAGGAAGTTGGGTACCCAGCGGGACTGTAAGGGGCGGGAATCGGCGAGACGAGGATTGATTGCGTTGCAGAGCGCTAAGGGGGGGCGGGCGGCGTAGAAGCAGATGAGGGTGAAGAGGGCGTAGAGGGCGACGTTCATGAAGACGTTGAAGATTATGGAGGGGTGGGGGGTTACGTAGAGGGCGCCTGTTTTGAAGGCTGCTGAGAATGTTGTCCTATCCGGTATTAGTATCAAGAACCATATATCACGAAGAGAAAGCCGTGAAAGGGGCGAGGGTATATCATGAAAAGGGGCAACACCAACTCACCAGACAAGCAAAATCAGACAAAACGTCGACACCTTGGCAAGATAAAACGTCCTCAGCGCCCAATCGACCTTCTTCTCCCAAAACCACCTCACAACCTGTCCCACAGCCAACGGCAACAACACGCTCAAACCCAGCTGCTTCAGGACATTCGCGTACATGGCGCCCAGGGTACTCGGGTTCGCGGGCTGCCAGTCGGCAAACTCGGGCGTCTTGGGGATGAATCCGTAAATGAGCCCCGGGGAAATGAAACTGCCCAGCACGTTGCCGATGACGACCTCGATGATGGCGGCTGCGTCGTCGCCGCCCGAGGCGCGGGTCATGACGACGTTGGAGGCGATTGTCGTCGGGAGGCAGGAGGCGACGACCATGCCTACGATGATGGGGGTTGCGAGGGCTTGGGTGCGGAGGCCGCCTGCTGCTATGATGATGTGGACGATGACTTTTGGGGTTGTGTCAGTTTGTGGTTTGAGCTGGATGTTTCGTCCAATGCCTCTGTCCATAAGAGGCTTATGAGCGGCATGTTCACGTCAAGTGAGTTACTTACTTAGTAGTATCACGGGAATCACAATAAAGCTAATCCCCTGGACGATAATATGTAACCGCCAGTTGGCTACATTCTGCCTCAGCTTCGTATGCGAGAGCTGCAAGCCGCTGACGAGGAAGATGATGGCGATGCCGCCGTAGATGATGGTGTACTCTGACCTAATCGGTCCACCTCTAGCCGCGACATCTTGTAGTTCAGTTTGTTAGTCGTGTGCTCATCTTCGAGTTCATTCTGCGTGTGTGTCTCTCTCTCCCTCGCTCACTCTCATTCTCACATGAAAAGGACCCTCATAGATGCCAACTTACTCGGGAAAAAATACGCAAAAACACAGCTGAGAGCGAACCCGATAACGAGCCACTGTGCCAAGACGAGCTTGAAGATCTTGACCGCCTTGATCCGCATGCGCGTCCATGTCGACGTCGCCGACTGAGGCTTTCCGCTCTCGTCGCGGGCGTCCACGGGGCCGACCATGGCTGTCTGAGAAATACGCACACTTCTCTCGCGCCGGCTCAGGCCGAATGAGACATCGGAGGTGTATGTGTCGTCGGGACGGGGGGCGCGAAGGTGGAATTCCCTTGAGATAGTTGGATTATTGAAATACGGTGGCGGGACCGGAGGACCTCCGTATCTCTGACCGATCTAACTTATCGAGATAAAGTGTGGTGAGGTGAGAGATTTAGCCTGCAATGAGCTGCCAAGACTTATATCCAGAGGGTAAGTTGTATTGGATTAAGGTTAAAACGACTTCATGTCCCAAACATACGGGCCCTTTCATGTACGGCAAGCCGAACGTTTGGCCGTCCCTCTCCCTCTCAGTACCTATCTACTTACTCTTCCCAAACCGTGCCGGACAAGTCTTCCTCCGCAGACAAAGATTAGGTGATTTGCAAGGAAAAGAGAATGGATGACGCCAACGCCCAGGTCACTCGCAGTCTTGCGTTTTGAGTCGTTGGTTTCGCGTCGCGAGGGCGGGGCCGGGTTATACCCGGGCGGCGTAGGCGTGGGCGCGGTGAGAACCCCGACATCGGTGTCGTCCGAAGGTGGGATTCGTCCAAGACTCCTGCATAGGAAGTTTTCGCCAGGTCACTTGATCTCTGGAAGTGAGACCAAGTGATTAACTTCAGTGCTGGAAGATGGTTCAGAATACACAGATGCATCTTCTCGAGTAAGTAAGCTTCGGCTTATACGGCGAGGCACGAGACCTAGAGAACTTTGGGGTTTCTCCGCTTCGGTGCCGTGCCGATTTGGCCGATGTTCATGCCCGGCGTGTGATTGATGAGCTGAAGCACGTGTGAAATAATTGTTCTCGGCCGGAGTTTTCTTTCATCTCGGCTCCGCGGCTTTGGGGACACCATCCAAGGGGTGCTCGAATAACGTCCTCTTCCTTCAACCGGTTCCTCGGACTCCTCAGAGTCAGTGGTACCAAAACCTGAAAATTACAATATGGAGGAGTACAATACCTTTCATCAAGGTCTCACAAGCATCCTACGAGAGAACAGATTATTTGAATAAGTTGATTACGTTTACAACTAATACTAGCGGTCAAACTTATCCCGCCTCAGTCTCTTTCTCGCGTGTCATACACCCATTTCCTCTTGACCTCGTATCCCGTCATCTAGAGAAAGTGATCTTTCCATCCTCTGTATCATGTTGTATCCTTGATCGGTTTCCTGAAGTGCTGTTTTCCCATGGGTTTCCTCCAACCTTCTGTGATGTAAACCGTTATTTTCCAAACCAGGGTATCTACCAATATTGTGTAAGAGAGAGAGAAAAAGAAAAGAAAAGGTAAGAGAAAGAATCTTAAAAGAATTATGCATCACCCGAAGCATTCCTAGCTTGGTTCTGCATCCTACGCATCGCCTCGCGGTGCAACTCAAACATCTCCCCGCTCTGCATGCTCCTCGTGAAAGCCTGATCGGACCTCTCCTTATCGATCCTCGCCTTCTCCTTGCGCTTCGCCTCCGCCTCCTTCTGGCTCATCATGAAGCTCCGCTGCAGGTCAATGTTCCTCTGCACCTCGGCCTCGCGCGCGGCGGCCTGGCTAGCCGCCAGGTTCGACGCGCTTGGCGACCGGAACATGCTCAGCGCCATGTCGCGGCCATTGGCGGCGGGAGCGGGGGACGCCGTACCGGCGCGGAGATCGGCGCGGACCGAGTCTCGGAAGCTCGCGAGCCGGGCGTCACGGGCGTCTTGCGAGGGAACGTTGGAGTAACGCATGGGCTGATGAGAGTCGAAGGCGAGGTTGTCGGCGGAAACGCTGGGTACGTAAGAGCCGCTGGCTGACCTGGAGCCTTCGAGGGAGGATCGCATTGTGCCGGAACTGCTCTGGCGACGGATAATTTCCCTGCGCTGGCTCAATGGGAGGTCGTCCAGGGAGACTGGCGGCATCTGTGACGGGTAGACGGGGTAGTTGTACATGGAGCCGGTTTCGCTGGGTGGTCTGTAGGAGGCGGCAGATATCTCAGGCGTGTTGTTGGCTCCAGTCAGAATTCCGTACGTCTTGTTGCGCAGAGCGACGCTTCTCTGTGCGATCAAGCTCTGGGGGCTGTCGTAAGACATGATGCCGGGTGGCGGCGGCGGGGGAACAAAGACAGCTGGAGCTGTTGCTGAGTTAGCGATGCCAGAGGCGCCGCTTCTTGTGCTCGCAGCTCTAGAGAGCGCCTGTTGCTCTTCCTCGGCGATGGGCTCGAACTGCGTCTTGCTCGAAGCACGGCGATGTGACTGGTACGAGCTGCTTCTAGAGTGGCCACGGTTCGGTGACTGGGTTGACTTGGGTCGAGTCAAGGCCGGCGGAGGTGTCGCGACGGGAGCGGGCGATCTCGAAGGAGTTGATGCAGGCGCAGGCGTGGCAGACAAGGCCGTCTGCTTAAGCTCATCGACGTGCACAGGAGCTGGGGCTTCCCGGGTCTGCGGTCTGTCGTCTCCGACCTTTAAGATCTCAGGCTCGGGTGCGTCGGCGTGGCTAAGGTGCTTTGCCCATTCGTTTGTGCGGTAGTGTAGCGCAACGTTGGAGAAGCTGGGCGGCAGACGCTCTTGGGTAAGATTCAGAGGCGTGGAACGAAGCGAGGCTGTTGATTTGGCTTGCTGAGAAGGGACGGGGACTTGTCGACTCTCGCCCGACTCAGACAGCTTCACCGAGCTGTTTTCTTGAGCAACATCACCGATTGCGGTTTCCGGCGCCCTCTCTTCGACAGCAGCAGGAGTCGCATCCTTGGCCAGAGGCTGGGCTGGCATGTCAGTGACAGCCGTCATGGCTGACACTGGTCTAACGGAGTCTCCATCGGTGACGCTCTGTCGAGATGCCGATGCTGATGTAGTAGTCTCCGGCTTGATGCTCGACTGTTGCTCTCCAGAGAGCTGTGCGTTGATCTCAATACTGCGACGGTGACCACCGTTCACAGATCCGGCGCCGCTGTCGCTCTGAGTGTCAACAGTTGCCGCGAGAGACACAGCGTCGTCGTCCCTTGGACGTTGAAGCACCGCCAGCTCCTCATCACCGTCATCTTCCTTACGATGCGACATCGATGTCCGCTGAGAAACCCTCCGCATCAGCTGTACCGAGCTCTGAGAGAGTCGCTTCGCAAAGGAACTCCTCTTGCTGCCGACGCCTGCCTGAATCTCTTCATCATCGTCGGCAAAAGTTGCGATCGTGGACCGCTCCTCTTTGTCTCTGGCTAGAGCCTCCTCATCAGGGAATCTGAATGGCAAAGGTACCACTTCAGGAACCGGTGCCACCTCTTGCACGCTCTGAACAACAGTAGGACCAGTGACGTTGTCCGCAGCAACGGGTTCTCTGTGAGTTTCATCCGGAGCGACGCGTAATGTCACAACGACTTCTTTCTCCTTTTCGGAAACCATCAGACCTGGAGACTCTGGCTTTGAGGGAACAGCGGGAGAAACATCCGACCCTTGCATTTCAGCCACGGGAGGGGCGTGTGATCGAGGAGTAGCGGTGCTCTGGCTGTATCGAATAGCCTTCTCGCTCTCGCTGTCGCGAGCAAAGCCGGAGTCGTGATCATCGCTGTCTGGTGTGTAATCTCCGTGCGCTCTCTCCCACGCCCGTCGCTCTAAAGCGGTGCGAGCCTCGAGCTCTCGTCCAATGTTGGCCTCTTCGTCATCACGGGCACGCTGCGCCTCGGCCATTTCCTCTTCCCGCTTCGTACGTTTGTCCTTGATGACGTTCCACAATCTCTTCTGAGAAATGACGCCGATAACAGTGATTACAATTATAGCGGCAATCTCAACGCGAATGCCCTTTGTTAGCGGGTACGTGTTGGTGTCTTGAGGGAAGAGGTTGTCGTTCAGGTCCCAAATGTACGCCCAAAACTCCTTCAGCCCAGCCCGGCTGAAGCAGTCGATTCCGAGCACAGTTGCCGTGGCACCACTGAAGGCGATCGTACACATGAGCGCCCAGTCCCGAGTCCATCGGCTGAAGTACAATGCAAAGCCTGCTAGTGAGAAAACAATGATGAAAATGACTTTGCCGACTCCCGTAAGCAGGCCGCCCTCGTGGACGCAAAGCAGCCACATTGAAAAGCAAAATCCGCCGAGAGCACATCCCAGGCATTCCGTAATTTCTTTGAAGAACCAGGAAGCGAGAACGCCAACTGCGACGGCCGGTAAAACTGCTGCGACGACATAGGCTCCTTGGGATCCGCTGGACACTGGAATGACCATGACATAGACGACCAAGACTGTGATACCCAAGGCGACGACGTACGCAACGGAGAAGGCAGTGTGCAAGACTGTATTCTTGATACCAATCAAGCTGTAGATGACCCCGGTGCAGAGCAAGATGACACCAGCGACAGCCCAGCCTGGTGTGACCTTTGGCTCAATAGGTAACTCTCCTGCCAGCATGGTAGCTGTATCAAGTGTCAGCCTTGTCTAGGGTTTGGTGTTGGTGCTAGGTGTTCGATGAGAAGTTCACTTACAATTGTCAAGGCTTGAGTTTCCAGAGGTGCTGCCAGTAGTTGGGATGATGGGAGGACTGGAGACTGTAGCGGAAGCAGAAGGTGACTCGGTGGTAGTGACTGCAGCTGTCCTTAGTGAAGATGCCGGCGATGTAGTACTTTCAGCATCTTGTGCGCTTCGTGACAAAGTAGAAGAGGCAACGGCTGCTGTAGTAGTCCCGCTTTCTTGACGTCTGACGGGCACCAAAGCTTGAGCAAGAGCCGCCTGAAGGAAGATTAAGAGAAGGCCCCAAGAGATCAGACGATTCCACCTCGCCATGATGACGAATTGGCCACCAGGTGTCGAATCCAAATTATTATACCAGTATTAGTGTTTGGTGTTGTCGAAACAGTTTCCGAGCATCGATAGTCTGTATTCACCTGAACCACTTGTGACGTGAAGAGAGGAGGGGATGCCGGCAGCAAGAAAAGAGTCGGTGGAAGACACGGGCAAGCTGAAGGGGGGAGCTGGGAGAAGGAAGGTATTATTAGATGAACGAACAATGGTCAACCAGCATCGACTCGAACCCCAGGGACCAGTGGGGGATTAGGACAAGACAGCTCCCGGGCTGACAGCAGAGAAGAGGGGAGGATGGAAAAGAAGAAAAGAAAGGGTACAGACAGGGGCAGGGAACAGCCCAGATGTCATGGAGTGGAGTCGAGACCTGGAGGTGATCAAACTATATAGGACAAGGAGGAGAGTTTTAATGCCGGAGTGGGAGATCCATGGGAGAGATGCGGACCCGGCTGGTGACACCGAACATGGCATCATTGGTGCACGAGTACACGCGGATGGCTTCAGCTACGATGCACTCGTCACAGCGAAATGTGCAATCCTTCCCACATGACGAATTAAACCTCCGGGACTGAGGTAACGCATGGAACCCTTTGAGATGGCCAAAGACTATGGAGTGCTTCCTTTCTAGCCACCATGTACATGGTCAGAGTGAGATCAGACCAAGATTGGAGCTGCCTTGCATGCTCTACAACCTTCTCGCAGTGATGGGCTTCCAGCCTAACTGGGATGGCAAGAACCGTAGCGGCTCAGGATCGGAAGAGGAAGAACAAACAAGACGGCGCGCGGGTACGGGAGATGAATATCACGGACGTTCTGAGAAAAGAAACGCAGGCAGGCAAAGTGAGGGTGGCCAACCGAGAGGGCGAGGTCCTTCTTGGCGGTATCGGGTACAAGCGAGTGACCTGCGGCTCTCGGCCAGAAGACGGCCAAGAAGACCAAGTCGAGAGTCCATGGCGTCCAGGCATGGCGTCCAGACGGGTCGTGGACAACTAGTCTTCTGACAAGGCCGCGGCATGGCCAGACTTTGCGGCGGCAGTCAATAGGAATCCCGGTCTGCTGGCTGAACCTATAGCTTATATCACGGGTTCCGAGGGCGAGATCTGAAGAGCACCAGAATGTAGCAAACGCAAATGTAGCCAAAGGCAATGTAAGTTGAGAGAAAAAGGTGTGATGAGGAAGCTGTTGGTACTTGTGAATACTGCGTACTACGTAGGTGAGCAGTCGTCGGAAGTTGAGGCGCGTCCATCCTAAATTACAGGGACAGGGGCTAATCCCGGCATACCGCGCTTTAGCGTTTGACTCGGATGGGAATAAGACAATCAGGAACAGCAAGGAAGTGGGAACAACAGCCCGACGAGATGGAGGGGGCAGCCTCTGAGGGAGGGGTGGAGGGGTCCGTGGGGCTTGCGTTGGCTGTGAGGTGAGTGAGGAAGGTGGACGGATTGGATGGATGGATGGACGGACGGGAGGGATGAGATGGTGAATTGGATGAGGTGAGAGAGAGAGAGAGAAACAGGATGAGACGGGATGACCATGGGGATGCGAGAAGCTCTAGCCTTGCTGCTCTTCGACACCTCCACGACCTCTTTGGTGCCAAAACGGACGTCCCGTCCTGTCCTGTCTGTCCTCACAGAAATGCCCGAGACGGGCGCGCGAACAAATCTTGCATTGGCCAAGCGCCATGTGCAGTACGCAGTCCGCAGTCCGCAGTTTACAGCACATCGCAGCGCAGAGTGAGCTGGCATGGACAGGCAGCGCATGTCATTGCATCTTGGGTATCCGGATCCCCATTCGCAGTCAGATTCTGTCTGACCCATGACAAGTCAGCCACAGCCGTAAGGTATTCATCCATCTGTGGCAGCATCGTGGTTCGTACGCATCATGATGTGGAAATCATGTTTAACCTTTGCTGCCTTTCCACGGCCACGTCGTCTGCATTTCCAGAATGGGAAAATCGACTTGAGCTTTTTCAATAGTCTTCTGCCACCCGCATGAATTCGTGTCCAGATGCGGACGTGTAGGCCAAACGTATCGCTGTAGGTAATGCGATAAATTGCTTTTTTCCGACAGCGTTGGATAGACGGTAGCGGCGGCGGTTCGGCCGACGTCGTTCATCAGCTGAGCTCCAAGCCTCCAAGAACGAATAGGGTACACCATCGAGGAAAAAAGGAGATTATTGCAAAGTGAATCAGGTCCGCCGCAAGATCGGTGGCGCACCCGAGGCAAGACAAGGCCGGTAGCCGCGGTGCCGCGCAGGACGAACATTGGCTCGTCTTCCTTGAACAGGTCAGTGGTCAATCAGGGTGGGGTGGGGTGGTGTTGCAGTCCATAGCTTCGCTGCACCTGCAAACTGCACCTGCACGTCTCCGGTCAAACGGGATGTGGAGATCTTGAACTTTGAAGACCTTGGAGGGAAAAGGTTGTGATGGATGCGAAATGAAAGAGTTGCACCGACGCAGCGGGACGAGGATGATCTCCAGGTACAAAGTAGTAAAGTAAGGTAAGGTACCACGCACCCACGGTAGCACGGTAGGTACTCAGCCGGCGCTTTTTGATGACCAGGGCCGAGAAAGCAGGTGCCACCTACGCTAAGCCTTCTCCAGATCCACTAGCCCATCCCGTCTTAGGTCGGTTCCTGCCTTAGCTTAACGGTGTATTCAAGGGAGGCAGCAACCTGGAAGACGAGCATCTAGAAAGGCAAGAGAGAAAAATGATGTGGACGAACACTTGCCTTCCATTTCAGAAATATCGTACGTTGGAGACGTCACTACGTACTATGATTTTGAACGTGGAATTGACTCTGAATCTTGCAAGTTCCTTAACTCTCCAAGCAATGAAAGGGAGCCTTCATCTTACTTCACCAGCAAACACAACGTCGCTCATCCTTGATATCATCGAACCACAATCCCCCACCTCGACTCCTCCTAGCATCTTGCTAGACTGGCACGAACGACTAGGCCACGGAAGACCCATGCTTGCGATACCAGGCTATGCGTCAATAACTTCCGAAGACGCGCTTTTCCGGCAATACGTAGTAGACATGACATTTGGCCCCGGTATTCTGTCTCCATTGATCGTCCTCCAGCTGATTTTCCTGTCAGATCTTTTCTGCCTTTCTCCAGCTGATCGAGATTACGAGAGGCGTGCTCATCGACTTCCAACGCGAACCATGACAACCCGGCGCGATCGGATCGCGAGCACGTCGTCTAGGCCTGCATACAATAGTTCTGTGTTTGCGTGCCCATCCTCGACGAGTCCTAGTGTATCTTCCCAATACAGTACGCGGCCAACACAACGCACAAGCGCGGGGACCACCAATGATGCCGGAACACTTGCTCAGCTCTCCCTTCAACCACACCGGACGCCGCACATACATATTGAACTCTTTTGCCGACCAACGAGTCCACCCAGAATCCACTTAAGCTTTGGACGAAACTTTCGACCCCTCACATGGACAGCCCAGTGATACTCTCCACGGCATTGGGTCTCGATTTGGGGCATGTAGATCCATCGTTACGAGACGGCCTGATGGACAATGACGGCTTGACAGATGGCCCCTGAGTCTGGGTGAGCCTTGGGGTAAAAAAGACAATTTGACTCAGGTGTCTGATTCTGACTCTGGTAAACAAGGAACAGGTGGCAAGCGCATCGAAATGGCCATGGTCATGCCCACGGTCACAAACTTTCTGACGTAGGCCGTTCTGTCTTCATCTCATCGGCTGACGCCTGCTACTGACTTCACGGATTCGGCATTGTTTCGAGGCTTGCGTCTGGAAACAATGGCTTTGCAACTATTTTGAATGGCAACAAACCAGGTTTCTATTTTCTTTCTCATCACGGTCTGGATGTCTCGATGGAAGCAAAGCACGTTCATCCACGACGCTATCCAATGGCTGATCTGGGTCGAAACCGCGCTGCCGGCGCCGCTATTCATTTAGTCGCGCTCTCGGCCAGGCACCTGTGAAATTGAAGGGTCCACACATTCCTTTGCCCGATCGAGCAAGCCAAGGGAGAAGAAATTTCTTTTAGCGTCGACTCTTGCCGTGTGCTTAATGACAGCACAGGTCACGCAACAGCGGAAGCTTACGAAGCGTTGTTCTCCTCAAATTTTTGGGTAGTCGTTGTCGAATGCCCTTGTTTGACTGCCCGACTGCTGATGGTATACCACAGCACTTACAAGTTGCCCCACGCTCTGCGCCTCATCGCATAAAGGGGTCCTCGCATCCCTGCTCGCTTTGATACGAGCAAAGCCTCACTGCATGAGCCTCCCCCATACTGGCGATCCTGAGTTTGCTTTCTTAATTATTTTGTTTTTCATCTCGATACTTCGCGTACCTTTCCGGATATTGAGCTGAACACCCAAGTCGGTAGCTTCTATTGTAACTCTAGAAAAGCAACACCTCAATCTCGACGCCACAATGGCATGCTGCCAACTCCAGACCCTTACGCCTTCCCGCTGCTGTTCGACACCAATCATTGGCGTATTCGTCCCATATTCGGACGCCGTGTCTGCGGACTCCCGCGAACCACTGACCACCCAGCTCTTCTTCGTCCCTTGGCATGGCAAATTATCGGTCATCGTGGGACAGTTTCGTCGAATAACGATTTCGTACCCGTGGCGGCATGAGGAATGGCCCGGCCGGTTGAACTGGTTCCCCTGAGCGGTTCGTCCGACGTTGTGAGGAGGGGCGAAATCATGCCGTGACCCGGGAACAGGGCTCCCCTGCTTCAAGACTCTATCCCTTTCCAAAGCCGGGCACTGGCAAGGACTCAACCAACAGTATCCATGTTCTACCAACAAGAGCCGATTGGCGTGCTGTATCGAGTCTTGGCCTGGGCAACGGCTTCAACTTACTGAGGAGGAGCATCGTGTAAGCGATCCTCCTCGTTTCGCCCATACGGTCACTCCGTTTCGCGCCGTCCATAAGGCTCCATGAGGATGTGCATCCTTCTGGAGCCGCTCGGTAAAGATGACGGACTCTTTTAGTCCCTTGAATGGACCTTTGGCCACGAAGTGCTTTGGACGGACCTCGACTGCCTATGAAGTAATCCTCACGCATGGCCCGGCGCTAAATGCTTCAGTTCGTCGTCTGCGGCATCCGTTTCCTGCAGCATCGTCGGTTCAACCTCATCCCACCGAATAAGTGACATTGCCGCGAGAGCCTCCGCGTGGCCACAACCACAATGACATTGTCAACACTCCCCCGCGACCCAAGCGCCTGCAGCCGAATCGGGGCTCTGGACTTCCCCAGCTTTTTCTCCCAGGGCAAATGACCCCAAGAAGACTCTTTGGCCGCCGCCGGGCCAGGCAGAGAACTTCCATGAAACCTTCTAGGACGTGCTGACATGACCGCACGTGGATGGGCACGGATGTGTTTGTATACATAAACGGATTTCTCCCAACCTCCTCCTGTTCCTGTATTTGAGAAAGTTCGACGAGTGTTGTGATCAAGGCACTACGCGGCGCCGGAGCCTCGGAGAGGGTTGGTGGCGAGACCATGCTGTCGCCGCTCAGCTCCAGCCAACAACATTGACTGGTCATTATATCTGCGACGAAGTTATCTAGCCCGTCCACGGTGATATGATCATCCGGCTCTTCTTCAGTTGCCAACGTTGCAACGCAACAGCGATCTGTAAGAAGACAATCGGTTGAACATGGGAACGGAATGTGCTCTCCTAGCGGAAGGGATGCTATTCTTCTCCCTCGACAGAAGTAGCTGATGGAGGATATTTCAAGGACCAATACGTCTGCCGTTCCTTTCTCTCCCGTTCATTGGGAATCGTCACTTGTGCCGGTGCTTGACTAGGTACAATCTATCCCTTGTGATATCAATCACGTAATCTTTGATGTGAATTCAAAGGTGAATATCACTCTCTGGTTTAGGATAGAGCCTCAAGCTCGAGCATAGAACGCCCTTGACATCAAACAAACTTTGCGAGTTCGAGTAGCCAATCCATTCCTGGATACTACCATCTCATAAGCCAGATCTTTTGCGAAAATTTGGCATTCATTCGATCGTCTTGCAATGGATCTGCCCCCACCCCAAGAACCTCGCAATTAAATGCTCACACAAAAAGAAGTCGAGTCCAAAACGTATAGTAAGGACTGTCTCTTACATCCTGACGCTGCCTATCCCACCCTCTACCGCGCAATACAGCATCACGTCGTGGAGACGCCCTAGCATTAAACACATTAGCTCGATGTGCAATGTAGAATCTTCCACGGCATGAATGACGGTCAATATCGCGGTTTTAGGTGATTTTACCTCTAGACCGCAATCAGGCATTTAACCCCAAAGTCGATACCATGACCAAAAGACCGCTTTGCAAATGATATCCATAAGGCAGGGAATGCGTTGATCTCGAACTTAGACCACCTACGAAACATGGCTACAATCGTCCAAGCTCATCTTTACCCCCTTGTCTCCGATATGTAATACCGTCAAAGGAAGAATCCATTTCGAAACCATGGCAAAGGGACGCGGGCGTGCAAGCTACCTCAGGGAGACCCATGAGCTCATGCCTTCTTTCCCAGTCCATCAGTCTGCGTTCCTTCTCTTCCTTATCCCTTACCTAGAGGCTAGTAAACATTCAAACTTGATCCTCATCACTGCCGGACTTCGAACAAACAAAGAAATATATATCTTCGTGATATGGATACCAAATTGATGCTTTTCGTCGGCGGACGCAGGGCAAAGTGACCAGATGCAGAGCAATACTGATGCCGTCCAAAGCGAAACGTTGTTTAGTCCTTCGATATATTCAATGACCACCGAGGAATCCCCCATCACGTCGTACTTTATCATAAAATCATGGTAGACGGTGATGAGAATATAATTCGACACGTAACAGTACAGTGTAGGTGTTGTTTCCCCAAACACATTGAGACCAGTGTCCTCTGAATTGGTTTCGCAGAGGACGTGACTTCGGAAACCGCATTACAACGCCGGCTTGTTCGAAAGCCCCATCCCTCTTGTCCCATGGGTGGTTACCATGCCCAAAACCTGATCCTTTTTTCTGATTACCAGGAGAATGAGTATCTGGGAAACCTTCAAGCCCCTCCGCCTTGCCTTCATCTTACGCCTCAATATCTTATACCATTTTCACCTCTTTGAGACGCGGCTTGGTTGTCTGTCTGCCGCCATCCTCCCGTGTCCCACGGCCTTCCCATTTCGACTGGACTTTGATGTCCTTTCAGGGAGGGACTTCTTCTTACGCTTGAGCAAGCCTCTAACTGTCTTGAAAGGCAGCACCAGCAGAGCGACTACCGCGAAGAAGGGCATCGTGATGATGGCCCACACGGATTCTACGAGCCACTGCATAAAGCCCGGCCGAGCGACGCTGTTTTTGGCCGCTGCTGCCGCCAGCGCAATGGCATCGTTCAGGCGGGTATCGACTGCCGCGAAACGCGATTCGGTCTGGAAGGCAAGTACAGTCGCCTTCTTCTCGTATCGTCGCACAGCCCGATTCAGCGCATCCAGATCGGGCTGGATGGCGTTGCGCACATCGCGAGCAATGGAAGCCTCTTGCTTGATTTTAGAATTGTCCGAGGTCCCATTGTGTTTCATCGGCGTCGGCTCAGGCCGTGACTCCAGCATTTCCAACCGGGCCATGAGAACCCTCATCTGATCTGAAGTGGCACCGTCGTCCTTGTACGGGTTTACATGGACATCCCGTTGCAGCTGAATGGTCCTGCACTGCACGAGCTTCATGAGATGCGAAATCGGTCGTACCTCTGCAGCCAAGAGGAAAATCGTCAAGTTGTAGTTGGAAACCAGGCCCTCCGAGGGCCGACTAAGTTGCGCGCGAATGGCATGCAGCAAGTATGCGCCCAGCATGGGAAACATGAAGCATGATACCAGGGCCAGGATTTCATGTACCCATAGCTCAGCCAATGCATCCTCCTTCTTGTTTCTTGGCGGCGTCGTCGACTTACGTACTTGTTCCTGAACAAAGGACGTGGGCGTCGTGGGTACTTCGGACGCTTCGTCAACGCTTCCGTTGGTCGTGTGGCCGTTAGCCGTCGATGCTGCCGGTGAGGGGCTTCCAGCCGCCTGCTCTCCCTCGCTCTCATCGTCAACAACAGCGCTCGTACTGATCTCTGCCCGCTCTCGTACTGCTTGCGCCGAATGGTACCAATTCCTGGTGGATGGTGTCAGCGCTCGGATAATACCGTTCTCTGACGAGATCGTGCTGGTCACGATATATCGGAGAACAGAGCGCCAGACTTACCATGGATGTGTGACGGACCAGTGCAGGAACACGGCCGACAAGCCCAGCAACATAATGTCCGTCACAACGGCGCTACCATTCTTGAAAAGCAAACCACCGACCGCGGGTAAAAGTGCAAATGCCAGAGGAACCGAGGCCCAGTTAGATAGTTCGTCCGTCGATGTTGATGGTATACCGTCTCCAGGTCTAGGGTTGAGAAAATCTCTTGCATCGCCAAAGCTGTAATCCGACAACGTCGAACTCCTTCTCCTCCCAAGGCCTCTCTCGGCGAATGAGTTCTCTGTTGGGATATGGCTGAAAGGCGGCCGCCGGCGCACCTGAGATGTCTCGTCTACGGTCACGGCGCGTTTGAACGAGTGCCCCGAGGGCGCCGGTGAAGCTGTCGTTCCCGGTGATGATATGGTCTGCTTCCTACTGGTGTTGCTCGTCGTTGTGGGGGGCGAAGTCGGACTTCGAGAATCGTTCTCGTCCGACATGATGGGCGGCGCAAGTGATACCAGCTCGAATAGTTCAAATGTGTTACTGGGGAATTCGATTCCTATCGTTTCTTCTTGCGTCCTTTACTATTATTCCATAAGGTGTCGATTGCTGGAAGCTCGATGCGGGATGTGAGAGTCCGAGTTTGGGCAGGCAGTCAAGGGGTTTTGAAGGCTCCTCATCCGACACACGCCACAACCTTGAGAAAAAGCCTAGGAGAAATGCTCTTCCAAGACGCGCTTTTGAGCCCGAGGAAAGGAGAGAGAATGGGAAAAAAAAGGAGGAAAGGAGGAAAGGAGGAAGAGGGGCGGAGAGAGAGAGAAGAATGGGCGCTAGGAACAAATGAGGCGCTGCGTGTCTCGCAGCACGCGGTAGGCGTGTAGACACTGCAGCATGTGCGAGTGAGCGAATGTGTGTGGTGTGTATGTGCGACAGAGACAGTTGGGTCAGTAAGTGGTGTGTAACAAGACACCAAGGGCGAAAAAGGGCGAGAAGTGAAGCGCCACGAGCTGAGGATTGGGCTGGCGTTCGTTGGTATGTCGCTGGCGAGAATGGGAATGGGACGTGGTTTTAGTCTCTGCTCTGTCTCTACCTACTCTCTACGTAGTAGGCTTGAGGTGGTGGCGATTTGACTTGGATCGTCCCTGCCTGCCTTAGCTAGGTAAGGTACCGCGAGGTGATTGGGCGGGGAGGAAACGTCCGGCGACTCTTCTGAGTCGGAACGAGTGGCCGAGGTACCGTATCCCTGCTCGGCGTCGCGGGTGTCGCAAGGTGGAATGGAGGGACGGAAATCGGGGACGATGAGCATAAAGGTGGAAGAGGATGAGGAGGTTTGAGAAGCAAGGAAGGAAGAGGAAATATCAAGGAGATGGATGAATGGAAGATGGAGGTGTTGCGAAATGGATTGGGCTTGATTAAGGTACCTAGACTGACAACTTGTCTCTTTGGGAAGGGAAGATGAGGTAATGTAAGCTAAGGTACTTACTTACTTTCAAAGATCCAGACAGATGCATGGCAGGCTACCTACCTACCTTACCTTACAGTTAGACTACCTCCAGATAGCTTAGGCGGGGAAGTACATTAGCTGATGGATGTAACTCCACGCCTGCCAGAGGGATGGCAGGTACCTAAGATACTTGGTCTTGCAGCTGGCCAGCTCGTTGCCCGATGACACCAGTCCACGGCAAGGTACCAGGGCATTGCTAAGTCGAAATTGGTGTCTTTTGTACGGGTACCTTCACAACGAACTTGGAAACAACAAGAAAGTAGCCGAGTTGTCTGAGATATTACCCGTGACAGAGCTACGGTACCTATTTCCAGCCAGCTAGGTAGAGTACATCTCCCGCTTCTGGCTTGAAAAGAGGTCGCGCTCATGCTGATGGATGCTGACGACAGGGATGATGATGCAGTGATGCAACCTATCCGTGGGTCCCCATTCCCCCGCTCCCGCTCTGCCCGCATCACATCCCTATCCGCATCCAGCCCTGGGGACCCTGTTTAGATCCACAGTGGACGCCGGAACTGGGCCGGGAGAGGAGGGGAGAGCGGAGGGGAATGGACCTCAGCTTGAGGTCTTGCGTTTTCAACTTCAACCTCGTCCACTCAAAAGGTATACATCTTGCGCTCGTGCAACGCAACATTGTATTTCCCTGATGGTTCCGTTGCACATGTCTGTTGAGATGTACTGCAAATGTCAGCAATGCGATAAGTAGAACCGAAAGGCTACTGCCCTCGTCCTGCATCGCCTCGGCCCATCGCCGTAGGCTAGCGGTATGTGAAACGGCCATCCCATCCCACCACTTCACCTCCTCGGCGTGCTCATCTACGGATACATACCGAGCAGTACTGTAGGGCCTCGACATCGATAGCCCCGTCATCTTCATTAGTAAGAGGTCAAAGACTAGACTGCCCGTCATCTGCCGATGCCAATTTCACTTTATAACCTTATCTGGTCTTCGACCATGACCTCTTGATCCGACTCGTCACTTCGCCATACCAATCTGGACCACGTTCGCATACCAGGAGCAGGGCAGGCATCAACAGATGAACGTCTTCTCAAACTCACCAAATATGCCTCGGCCACACCCAATATTCCGCCTTCCCATCGCATAGCATTCCGGGTTGCGTCGACAACCAGTGGACCATAGATCGGCAAAAGCAGCAGACTTTCGTGGGCCTCTGTTTGTCTTCCATCCTGCTGCCCCAACAAACTGAAAGTGCGGGTTATCCTAGTAGCACCTGTGATACACCTGCGACCACTTGATTCTTACCTCTGCTCCGATAGGTATGCATGTTGCTTGTAGTTGATAGTCGCCGGATGGGAGGGAACCACACTGTCTTCTTACTTGACCACCCGTAACTGGTGCTGGCACTCTGTCTGCTATGACCATGCCCCGGAGAAACGGCGAGCGAACAGACATTGCGACAACTTCGTCATGGATCGATGTCGGAAGCCGCGCGTGCCACGGTACCTCCGCTGTTGTCTGTGCCATCGTCTAATTTTTGCCGCATCAAGTAACCCCCAAGAACAAGGAGCAAAGCCTTCCCGTTTGTGTTGATGTATAGAGATGAATGCCGCACCGCTCATCTCGGCTGAGCATGCGAGCATGTGGTTCGACCACTTCGCCGAGGTTTGCTATTGCCATGGGTCATTCATGATTTAGCTCTGCCCGTTTTTTGTGACGGGCCATCGCGTTCTAGTCCAAGATATGCTGAATCTCGGCTCCGCAAGTTTAAAAGTCGACAGAAATGTAGCCGCCGGTTGATTGTTTCGAGCGAGTCGGGGCCACTGCCTGTCGCATGCATCTCTATCCCTCGAATGCGTCACGCGTGGTACTGCCAAATCAAGATGTATGTTTCGACGTCGTCAGAACCAATCCAACTGAACCACACGAGGCATGTCGGTCCCACACAGGCATGAGCAGTTCCTCCTTATGAGAAACAAAAAGACAGACCGACTTCGTAACAGATTGGGATCCCGTAGTGCACCTCCACAGGCGCGGTTGCACAAAAAGAGACGGGGGCTGGCTGAAATATGTCTAAGAGACATGTGTCAGACGGAACCCCGCAATTCTCCATATTGGTCTTTGCGTACTTGGTATGTCTCGTCGATACTTGTTGCCAGCCACCGATACGACATCTTGAGTAAGACAAGTCATCCCCAGGTTCGTGAAATCCCCCTGACTGGAAGGAAATTGCCAGATGAATCATTTTCCATGGACCTGCGTGGCCGGATACTTTCCCCCGGTTGAGCTCTTCCATGTCATCATGTTCTGTGATGAACCTCAAGACTGTTAGATAATTAGAGAGCTGAGGTCGATTGAATCTCTTGGCTGGGGGCCAATGGCACAACACGCTCGTCTCATTTCAGCTCAATGGTAAGCCGAGACAATTGAAAAGCCTGTCCTTCCCGCCTACGAGTTCGATGGTTACTCCAACAGTCTGATTTGTGCAGGGTACAACATGTCTGTGTGAGTGCCAGGCAAAGGAACGTCAATAGTCTGAACGATGGATGTCCCAATACCCGCAAGCATCGCTGAGGCTATCTTTGTAGAATTGGCCCTGGATTATGCGATCGTCTTCAACATGTGCTTACCATGTTCCGCAAAAGCAAAAGGCAATGCCTTCAAGGAGGACATTGCGAAAGGCGGCTCTGTCGGGAACTGCAAGATCACCGTTAGCACCTCAAATTGCCCACTAAACCAGGATCAGCAATGCATCGCTAGCCCTTCAGGCGTACCGCAACCGTGGTTGTTTGTTTGTAAGCTGGTAAAGAGATTGGTGGTATTGGCGCCCCGCTTTCCAAACCTGAACTCTTCAACAGTAGTCCAATCTGCCGTTCCAAAGATGGATCGATTGAACCTATGAGCATCCGAATTTGGCTGCCTCGTAGATCGGCATTCCCTATTGATGCTTATTTGCCTGGTGATATTGGCATGTCTTGGGTCGGTTGGATAGGCGGATGCAACACGAAGGGAAAGTACTGTGACGCTGGAGTGCAGCAATTTCTAACTGAAGTTTCTGGCCGTCCACTTTCACTTTCAGGAATCATATGCTTGGGTTTGTTTGTCATCAGTCAAGTCGGAGAGTCGTCACGCACAGACAGAAGAGGTGCGACGGTAGCCGCTTGATCATCGCGAAGACACAAGACAATGGCCTCGCGATTAGGTGGCTCGAGACCAATTGACAATCCGGGGGCACCGCTCGCCCGTTGGAAGTTTGCTGGGGACAGTCGGCGCAACACACTGCTGCTTACGAAGCAAGAGTCGAGCTGCTGCTCCAGAGTCCAGGCTTTTTATTGAATGGGAATGCTCACATCGTAGGGAGGGCATGAGAAGGATTGCTCGGAGCCTCGGACGGCAGACTGTTGTCTCCCTCATTCCGATGTCGCGTTGATTCGACGCGCCAGGACTGGAGGGCCACAAAATCCTTTTTTCGCAGTTGCGCCGCATTGTGCCATTGGGCAAGACGGGCTTGACAACAAGGCGTAAATTGGTGTCTGCCGACGCGGACAACCCGGTCTGAACCCTGGTTTTTGGTGGCCTCGGCGAGCAAGGACAACCAGGATGGCTTGATGGGTCCTGGAGGTTTAGAGTGCGTCACCCGGATCCAAGATTGATGGAGTCCAGTGTCGCCGTCAGGACAAAGGCGAGCCCGGCTAGAAATCTCTGCAGGATCGAAAATAGACAATTTAAAGCACCTTGGACGTTGGCTGGGAAGACAGGGAGGTACCTGCCAGGCTGAACGCCATCGAAGTCAGGTGGTAGCTGTGTGCGAGGCAGGCCGTCGTCATATATTGACGGGCTGGGGACGGATTGTTGGAGAGGGATCTCGTGTCGTGTCGTGCCGTGTCTAGATTTTCTTTTTTCCGCCTTTTTCGTCGTTGGTGCGAGACTCAAGACCCAAGACCCTCCACAAAACGACGGATGAAGCACCGGCGGAATCCTCAAATCCTGTATCTGTAACAGGAACCGCTTCGCAAGGTCACTGTTTATCGATATATCCTGCGCCACTCCGCTTGTGAAGCCTGACAGGAAACTTTGGTTTTAACATTCATCGATTGTCTTTCTCCAACCCACGATCCCTCCTGCGACAGTTTCCACGGCCGACATCAAACAGCCCTACTGTTCGTGCCACAGCGGGAGAGCGTTTGAGCAACGACGACGACATTGGTACAGTTGGCTGTTCTTTCTGTTTCTTGTGGAGAAGGACACGAAAGACCGGCGGATGAGTGAACAGACGTTGGGATAGCTTGAACGACGAAGCAGCATCAAGAAGAGACGACGACTGGAAGAGATATCGACGATATCGAATATACGACGGTTCGACGGTCCAAACGACGGCGACGAATTTTGAAAAGTGCAGCTGGAGTGAAGTGGGCACTGAGCTGCAGGAACGTTGATCCCGGCCCAACAGGATCCGAACCAAACAATTCGAGCAGCAGGAAGGAGCCGGGAACCACAACGCAGAGTCACAGAGAAAGGACGATCCTGCCGTCCGTTCCTGCGCATTGCGGCATCCAACGAGCAGGAACTTGGGAAGAAGCTAAGGTAGAGCCTAGCCCGACGTTCCTATCCGTACTCCGTACCTTCCCACGCTTTCTTCCACCTTCCCAACCTTCCGGGCAGAGAAAGCGCAGCTCCTGCCTGCTCACTGGCAACTGCCCGGTAAGAGTGGGCGGGTTTCGCGGGTTCAGGGCAGTGGAGGGAACTTCAAGGAAGGTCCCCCCCCCCTGCTTCCCTCCAGCGAGCGGCTTCCCAAAATGCTGGGACTGAGAGCCAGAGCCTCCAGGAACCCAATCTCGGCCATCTCCTCCCCCCTGAACGCGCGCTCCACTTTAGACAACTCCACGGCCGCCTCACAGTCGCCGCTCAGCTGCAACCTCTGGACGACCTGCACTCTTATTCCGGCGCAATTATTCACATTATTCACAACTTTTACCTGCAGCAATTATCCATTGCTTCCTCGGTTCAAATCCAACACCACCACCCTCGCCCTCACCACCACCGTTGCATCCACACGGGCATCCACATCCACAACCACCACAGCCTTGACCTTTGAGCCTGCTGCTACCAATCACGCTCTTCGTCCGCTTCTCCCTCTGCCATTCACCATTGGACGCTTTGCCCACGCTTGCATTAAAACAACCACCACCACCGTTCAAGCTAAAGCCAAAGCTGCAGTCCGAGCCACCGTCTGCACGTCGTCGCCTACGCATTTCTTTGTCCGGGTCTCCACATATCTAACTGCAAACCTAATCGTTTTGCACCTACGACTATTGCGGCTGTTGCTGCACCCATTGTTCCTGCGCGACGCTTTCCTTGGTCGACTTTTCCCCAACACCATCCCCTCAACCTCCCCTCCAACCCGGCGACCAATTCAATCGCTCCGTTCGCTGTCGACATCGCCGCCGTCGTTTCTGCCGCTGCCGCTTAAAGAGGCCCTGGCGACCTCGACGAGCCTGGCCCAGGCGCTGCTGCAAACTCCTCGACAACCAAAAGACCCGTTCTCCACCGTGCCCCGTAAGGCCGTCGTCCTCACGGCGGCCTTCGTCGAACCATTCTCCCCACGGCTTCACACGCGAGAAACAATTCTTCGTCACCGGCCACCGTAGATGCATTCGCAAATCCTCGCATCACAACGCTTTCGCAGCAGCCCACATATCCCGGCGCTTCGCCTGACCTCCAGACTCCAGTAGCCGCCCACGCCGCCGCCCTGCCCCAAGCTCACACTCCATCCCTGCTACGCCAATACGACCCCAAAGAGTACTTCCTGCAGTCTCCCTTTCGCAATCGCGCCGCCTCTTCTGCGGCCCGTCGACTTCCTCACCTTTCCGCTGCTCGTCTCTGGAACCCAACCAACTCTACACCACGCCTTCCCGATAAGCCAGCTCTTCGCAAACGACGACCCTCGACACCGCCTCCCCCCGCCGTTCCTCTCTCGCATCCGACTCTCGATCCATTGTCCGTCGACCCTGCTGACCCTCTCGGCATCGGCGCAAGCGACTATCCGCTGCTGACTCTCCCGGAGCAGCGCCAAACGCGACATTCGACATCGAATCGAAATAGCCTCCAAATCGACCGCAGTGGGAGTGGTGCAGAGCATCGCATCAGCCTACCACCATCAGTGCGCCATTCATACGACGGACGAAGGTCCGCTGATCCTTCGCCAACATTCTTGGATCCCGACGCTCACCCCGCCGACGAGGAAGAAGAAGCACCTGCGGAACCTTCTGCCGAGACCCGAGTGACTGGTTTGAGGAAACGTGGGCAGAGTATTTCTGACCCAGTCATACGAGATTTTGCCATAACACTCAACGACAAAGGGAAAGGAAAGGCATCCATGGAGCCAGGCGCAGAGAATCAGGGACGAGGGGTCTCCAAGGACTTGGAGCGCGGGCCAGATGTGCTTCCACGTCATTCAAATGTGTCGGCTGGCGATGGCATGGGTATTGGGTCGGCCATTTCATCTTCAAACTCGTCGATTATGGGAGAGGAACTGCCGCCGGATCTGGGCGAAGAATGGGGTCCACAACACCCCTGCTTCCCCCATATGAATCCTCACGTTCCTCTCGACTCGCCAGAGTACCACAACACTCGAATCATCCGCATACGCCGAGACTGGTTGATCGAGGGAGACTTGGCTCCGACGTTTTCCAACTTGTATCCTGAAATCTTGGACCCGGCCGGCTTGTCAGAACAAGAGTTCCGGAGGATTGTCGACAAGCTCAACGGCGAACTCATTCCTATATTCAGCCCATACAACTGGAGAAACGTGGTCGATAGCATGCTCGGACTCGTTACGGGCTGGTTGTGGGATGATTTGGGGTTTACAGGTGTCAAAGCTCGGCTGAAGCGCCTGGAACGCTGGATTGACCAGTGGAACAACGAGATGGAAAAGACAATCGGCAATGAAGACAGTTCAATGGCCCCACGAATCATTTCACTGAGGAAGACGGGGTACATGACAGTAAGTTCAAGTTGCCGAACCCACGTGCAATACTGTACTAACTGAGGAAAAGCTCGACATACAAATCCCAGATCCGGAAATTGCGCCTGCTCCTAGCACACCTGGCGGTTCAAGGTCTGGAAGCCTGCCAATGGAGCCGGCAACCGCCGTGATGGCATCATAATATGGCAAGGCGACTTTATTGTCTGTCCTCTGCCTAACAACCTTCTTCCCTTCAACTTCGTATTTCATCGTACACTCTTTCTAATCACGGATCGGCCGCGGCCTGTGGGACGAACCGATATGAGCTTATACGACCGTAGCCTCACTTCTTCATCAGGCACTCGATATCCATTTACTACTACCCGGGGTTATTTTACTCTTTTTTCCAACCCCCACCCCCTACTACTACTACTATTACCTTATACCAAGGCATGGCGCGGAGTTTAAGGATCCCTTGGCTGGGACAGTCACGAAATGTGAAGCAAATGATTTCTTATACGCTTTTTTTTTCAAGTCCACCTTCTGGGTGAACCTATGTGCTTTATATGCCAGAACGTGCGGAATGGGAGCGATCCTGAGATGAGGGGAACCCGTCTATCGTCGGGATGATGAAGTAGGAGCACATGAGCTCGGGGGACCCCTGTAATTTGTTTAGATACCTGATGTGCTTCAAAACTTCGTTTCTTTCAACTATGCAGATCTCTGTTTCTCTCAGTGCATCGTCCTTGATGTGCCACCTCTCAACCTGCGTTTGGCTATGCTCATTCTTGTCCACGAGCACGGCTAGAGTGCTCCTGCGTGTTACAACGCATAGATTAGCTGTGTGCGGTATCCTTTGAGATGCCATGTCGTTTCCGTGCCGCCTCTTGCTGGGCGCGGTGGTAGGTAGCTCGACCTTGCATGTATCGTCCTCATGTAAAATATGCATTCTGAGAGCGAGTGAGAACGATATCATGGCCCCCAGTCCTATTCATTTGGCCGAACACCCGCAAAGGTACATTGAAACTACCTACCTAAGGCATCTACGAAACTATGATACAGCACTGGAATATACACGAGAAACCTGAATACACGCAGGAGGGAAGCCTATATGTACCCCCTCAACTCCAGTCTAGTCACCAGCACAGCAGGCGCCCCTCTAGGTCGGGGGGTCAGGTCAAACTGGCTGGGTGGTGGAATGGTTCATGGTCGCCAATTATTCACGCCAACCAGCCTACTCGACGACAGGCTCAGCGCATACGAGAGTACCCGAGTTCGAATCCCAGCATGAGCACCAAGAGATGTAGCCACGCCGGTGGTGAACTCTTTTTTGTTTTCTGTATCCGTATATCGCCTTGTATTCACACCAAGATCTTAATTGGCCTTGGAGATAAGAGTTTCCTGTCTATGAGATACAAAAGAAGTTTTAATAAGATTCCTCATCAAGACAAAAACTTAGGAGCTTCCAAGCACAACGAAGATAGGTAGACGATGTGAAGGTTGATTACTCTCCATCCTTCCTTTGGCACTTCCGGTAAAGCGATTAACTCCGATTAGACAACCCCGCTATAGGAATATAATGCGATCCAATTTCAGGGGTCAATGCGAAAACTCCAGGGACCTGGCGCCTTATGCACGAGCCACTTTTACAGTGCATCAAGCTGAGGTGCCGTGTGCTTCCCCCTGGACCGCGTCGATGGAACGCGCCCACCGCGAACGAAATCGACAGTTCCCACACTGGCACTTTAAGGTAGCTTCCCCCCCAAACGAGCATCTCGCCAATTTCGACACCTCAACACCATCTTTTGCCGTCCTACACCTCACATTCTCGACACTCCTTGAACCAAAGCGTTCCTTGATCTACACATCTACAAACCAAGCAACCAAAAAAAGGATGTCTGCTTCCGCCCTCTTCCGCCGCGCCGCCGTCGCCCCGCGCATGGCCTCCGCCGCCCGCGCATTCAGCACCACCCCGTCCAACAACGTCGCCCGCATCACCATCGTCGGCAACCTCGCCGACGCCCCCGAGGTCGTCCCAACCAGTACCGGCCGCGAGATTATCAGATACGCCGTCGCCAGCAACAGCGGGCCCAAGGATAACCGCCAGACCAGCTGGTTCCGTGTCACGAGCTTTGAGGCTGAGGGTCCCCGTCGGGATTTCCTTCAGAGCTTGCCCAAGGGGTACGCATGCACTCACATCCACACCGCAATGATAAGCTTGGGGGGATGCGGAGAGAGATGAAGGATAAAAGGTGTTTGAGGGGTTTCAAAGTGTGCTAACGTGTTGTAATAGCACTCTGGTCTACGTCGAGGGCGAAGCTGCCATGCGCGCCTACCAAGATGCCGAAGGCAAGAACCGCAGCTCCCTGAGCATTATCCAGCGTACGTCTTCTCCCCACTCAACATACCATCCCAATGCGAATCGGCTTTCGAGGAAGAGATGGAGCTACGCTAACATCAGGTCACAGGCTCTATCGAGGTCCTCAAGCGTCCTTACACCGGCAACAACGGCGGCGAGGCCAGCGAGTAAATGCACCCCAACCCCAATACAACAAACGGAGTTTCTCTTGTGCCATGTACGAAACGAACGACAGACGAGTGTACCCTTGAAGAGACCCTGACCTGGACTGGCCTCCCTCCTCTCTATCTCCACTCTATCGAGATTTTTCCTATATCTTTTTTGTGTACAATGACCTGATAAATGGGCTGGTTGAGGCGTGCTGTACGAAAACTCTTTTTTTCTAGGACGATAATTGATACCATGGGTTGCTCCTCTCACTCGCGCCTTGACTGTGATCTTGCGCTACGTTTGCTCTAGCTGCTTGAACCATTTGCTCCATTTCAATGTTCACTCAGGTCACGCATAGGAACTTTTCAACGGCTCCATAATGATCTAATCCGCCAGATGTGCTCTCCTCAGACGAGCGTACAGCTATCCATGCATCCAAAACCCGCAGCGACACCACCCTCGTTGCTAGTATCGCCCTTGGTGCGGAGCAGATAGCCAGCCTCCTCGTTGTGAACCACCTTACCGGTGCCCTGATCCCACACTGCAGTACCGTAGATGCCAAGCTCGCAGATGACGCCGCCTTCTTCGAGGTTGCCGTTGCGGAGGATGATGTTGTCCTGCTTAGGCGGCGTGATGAGCTCCATCAGGATGTACGAACCCCAGTGCGTCTCGGGCGTCTTCTTCAGGAACTCGGGGATGTCCTCGCGGTAGTGGTTGTTGCCGCCGCCTTCCCTCTGGGGCTTGAGGACGTAGCTTTTGCACAGCTCCGGGTCCTGCGCGATCTTACGCGCCTTAAGCCCGGCCTCGGAGGTGTCCATCGGGAAGATGTTGGTGAAGGTCTCAAACACCGCGGCCGTGCTGGGAGCGTCGTCGGGGATGAACCGGCCGAGGACCGAAGGCGAGGCACCAGCCGCCGCCGCCGCCGGTCTCGGCGTCGCCAGGACCTGCTGAATCTTCTTGCTGCCGGCCAGCTGGGTCAGGACGGTGGGGCACTTGATGGCGGACGACCTCTCGAGGTGGTAGCGGGCCTCCCAGGCGCTCTCGTCCGGGTAGTCGGACGGGTCGTACCAGCACCGCAGGTACGCGACAGCGACCTCGAACACCTTGGTTGGGTCTCGTGGCAGCTTGTAGAGCAGCTGGCGCTTGGGGGTGTCGGCGATGGTGGTGTGCTGCAGGAGCTCGGAGAAGGGGATGCGGAAGACGGTGACGGGGTCGGCGGCGTCGTTGACGAGGGCGTACTCGAGGTGGCGCTGGTCAAATATGTTTCTCTCGCCGCCCTGGACGACGAAGATGACGCACTTTTTGTGGCCGAGCTCCGATGGGCCGTAGGCGTCGTAGGCGGCGCGGATGCCGCCGGAAAGGCCTTGAACGCTTTTGTTCTCGGGCAGGTCGAGGGACCCTGACTCGATGGGATGATCAAGCAGAGGGTACTCTGCCACGGAAAGAAACCTATGTGCGTTTAGTATTCTGGGTTTCTCTCTCCTTGCGAGATGTGTAAGATTACTTATGGAGAAGCGAGGTTCGGGACGAAAGGCCACCAAAGGATGAAGCTATCGTGTTAAACTCGACCTGCTTGACTTGGCGTTTAGGTTCGCCTGAGGAGGTATCCTGGTGGACAAGATAGTCTGATCTGAACAATCCCAGAGAGAGACTCTGCACATCATTAGTCACATTGCCTGAAGCGTCGGTAGACTACGCACTTGAGTATATCCCTCCTTCTTCACTCGCACGTGGGTATCCCACAGCTTGCCAATGAAGTCGTCGCCTCCCTTGACCCTACGCGTTGTCAGCATCATTTCCTATGGTCGTTCAGACTACACTTGATGCGTGACTATCAAGCTGAAGTGGAAACATACTCATCCACCATGGCACTCAGAAACTCCTCATCCCTGCTGATGGCGGCATAGAGCTCATTATAGGTCTTTTGCACAGATCTCGCCTGTTCGAAGCATCCCTTGGGGAAAGGACTAGGGAACAGAGTTACGGGTACGTTTACCGCAAGAATACCTTTGGGGTCCGACTCCGGCGTCACGACCGTAGGAGGCGGCCGGACTGACAAGCCATTGCCGATAGCCCAATCCTTGACGGTCTGGACGAGGGCGTCTTGCTCCGACTGGGAGAGCCGGGGCGGGTACTGCTCCCTCGTCAACGTCGGAGTTGCCATGCTGCTGGTGAAATTTTCCTTGATGAGACTGAGTCTAGAGCCCCGACTGCAAGCTACAATGGTCCTGAAATTGGATGAGCTGGTATAGTTGCGCCTCCGTGATTAATAATTGCAAGTCGGATAATTTGAGTCGAATGAGAGTAGGAACAGCGACGGATTGTCAAGGTTAAACCCTTTTTGGTGGTGAAAAGACAGGCCTGACTTTGTCTGAAACAAACAGAGACTCAAGCCAGTTGTCGAGTCTACTGAGATTATGTGAAGTCAAATATCACCGGATGAGGAATGAGTGTTCATGTCAGTGAGGTATGTCTGGCGGGGGAGTGACGAGAAATCGGCTGCCCCACCATGAACTGCTGGTCTGGATTTCAAATGGCTGGTACTCCCACTGTACCTCAGCCGGCAGGTACGATGCACACAAGACGTGATCAATCTAAGTGGGGAGAATTTACAAGCAATGACTTGACATCAGGCTATATGGAAGCTCAACGATATTTGCAACTATTTGGACATCAAGACCAAATGATGATAA